CTCTTATTTTTTTTTTCTTTTTCTAAGTTACATTTGCAAGGGGAACCTTCAAAATGTCTTTGCTGCCTGAATCAAAACTGTGAAGASGTCTCAGCTGCTCCATTCATCTCAACAGATTTCTGACACAAATAAAGCGTGTATTTCGGAAAGCAAAGCACTTAAATAGTGGATTCTCTTAAAGCACGTGCTGAAGTACCATTGAAGTACCTGCTCGTTTGTGCAGCTCTGTGCTTTTGGTGCTGGGGGTTATTGAATCAGGGCTGTTTCACTGCTCAGAACTTTTGCAGAAGGAGCCAACTGAAGTGCTTTTACCACCACTCCAAAAAACTATCCTTCCTGCTGAAATCAAAGGTGTGAAATTTGAGCTTAATAATAAAACAATTAYGGGACATCAAGTCTCATTACCCCCACTCATTCTTAGTTCACTGCAAGATTCTGCTACAATTTACAGTGCATCTAGGAATTTTTTTTTTTTTAGATCTTAATTTCATTGTGTTCTTCAACATTTCACTACAGGCAGCCATAAGGATGGGGATGGCTTAGGTACTTCCTCAATGCTAGTACTGGAGCTGCTGAGCAGCACACAGCCTTTAATATATTTATCCTCAATTATCTTCCTGAAGTTTCCATCTATTATTACTSCATCTGGGAAAACAGGGTACAGAGAAGTAAAACCAGAAGTCAGACAGCCTGTCTGCAGCACAGTGAGTAATTGGACCCCTGGATCCCAAGCTGCCACTGTAATCACTGTACTGCRTTCCTCAAATCTATAATAATTAAAACGACAGTCTGAGCCATTGGTTGATGCRGTGGGCTGGAGCCTTTCCACTTGGGAATATGAGAATGGGAAGTCAGTGAAGCTGGTGAGAGACTTCTTTTTGGCTCTTCCACCAGTAGCTAAGCATTAGAACACCAAATTTATTAAATAACTGAAGATTTTTATTTCATAGACTAGTTTGATTTTAGCTTTGCAAATGCATGTTTTGATTCATCTCAAAAATGGAACATAAAATTGCTACAGGAGTTTAATTGTCTTGGAAGAACTCTGAAATGCAGTTAATAAAAATGTTTTATCTGTGTGAATATATACTAATCTCAGCCTCTATTAATCATKCTAACAATGTGCCTGAGTTTGGATAATCTCTTCTAATAAATGTTCATGTAGGCAATCTGCTAGCCATTGCCAGTTTCCTGAATGAATACCTTAATGGTTTCTGTAAGATTTTTTTTTTTCCTATGATCTTGAATTAAGACTACAGATGAAAACACCTTGATAATACCAAGTTTTGTGAGTTACCAGATAGATTATGTAACCCTCCTACTCAAATAACACTAGTCTAGTGTTGTTAATTTACTGTGGCTCTCTGTTCCATTTAGGAAAAGGAGTTAATTAGAAATACTAGTCTGGGAYATTGGAAAAATGTGTTGTGGATGTAATTTTGCTAGTTAAATTGTGATCTGTTTAGAATATGGTATATAGCAGGAGCTACATGTCTGTTAGGTGAACCAGAAGTCTGCTGTTTGATTAGAGTCTCCAGTTAGGTTTTGCAGTTGAGATTTTTATTTATTCAAAGAATTTTTAAAAAATCAAAAACAAATATTTAGGAGCAAAAAGCCATTGGTTCTGTTGTTTTGCTTTAGCATATTAGAAGCTCTGTTCTCAGATTTCATTATTTTATGCAGCACTAATAGCTTATGGTAAGCAAAGGATCTTCCAGTTTGTTGTTGTTATTCCTTTAAAATCTTTGTGGTGGATAAATCTGTTTGTAGTTTGCAAACAAAGAAAAACTTGAACAACTGCAAAAGTGGAATTAATATTCTGGACGTATACAGTTCATGAACATTTTAATATTCCCTTATCTTCCCTATTCTGCCTACAGTTTCTCCCTAGGCAGATTTTAAAAGKCTGTAGGACTCATTTCTCGTGGTGTGCTTCACTTGGGGAATGTCTCTCCAGGTTACAGCATTTGTGCTGTGGGTTCTGCTGCTGTTTTGATTTTGGGTGTACATGGCTTAATGAGCTGGAATCAGTGAGAGCTCCTGGAGATTCTGCAAAACAGTTGGGTTGTCTGTTTCTCAGGGGACAGAAGTCTGGGAGAAGATAGTAAAAGGGGCAAAAAAAGAGTGCATTTACAGTGGTTGTGAACAAGAAAGGACACCAGCTTATCAATTTATTTTGTCACAGTAGCTAAATAAAATATTTAGGTGGTAGGATTCATAGATTTTAGCAGTTGATTCAGCCCTTACTGGAAAATAAAGAGTTCTGGTGCTGTATGACTTCTCCTTTCTGTTCCTTCTGCCTTTTATTCTTACTACTGCTCTGGTAATTTCTTAAATGATATTTAATTTCACAAAAAAGTATTAACATTTCAGTGGGTCCCAGGATATTGTTTGGTACAGTCTGTATCTATTTAAAAGGTTGTTGAGTGGTTGCCTTTGTGTCCTGCTGAACATTATTTTCCAAAGCTGGTTTGGATTTTCCATGGCTACGCCTCAGATGAACATTGTCATGTGAGATTTTATCACTGTAAACCTCTTTCACCACTAGATCAGAAGAGGCTTTTTAAAAGGATTGCTGGTGTCCTGTTCTTACATGTTAAGTGCTTTCCAGATTTTATTCTCAAAGCTTTTTTTGCATCAACCTGACTTCAGTAAACTTATTGCTATTTCCCTAGCACTTTAATTAAAATAAAAACAAAAAAAGTGCCAAAACACTTCTTAAAATAGTTATTGTATGTAAACTGTGCTGGCTGCAAGTGTCATCTCCTGCAACAGGCTTTTGCAGTACCTGGGGGATTTCCATAAATGCATGGTCTTTTTTTAGTTACCCAAAGGTGTATTGAGTGAAGTTGCACTGAATATTGGCTTAATGGTGCATTTGCTTGGGACTTTTATCTTAAAGGTGACCTGCAAGCCTTGCTTTTATCAGATAGTCAGAAATTATGACAAAATTTCAGTTTTATTGTCTTAAATGCAATATAGAAGGTAGCAAGTGCTTCTTGCTCCTTTGTAGTAACAGCATCCTGTCAGCTTCATTACCTTTTGAAACATGAAAATTTGGTCGCAGATAAACAGTTTACTTTTTGGAAGCTGGAAAAAAATATTTTCCAGATAAAGTGCATTCCCAAATATTTGAGGAATTTAGTCTAATTGTATTGCTGTTACTGTCAATGGATATTTGATGTTTTCATTGGAAATCTTGATATTTCTTTTAAATTATTTGTTATTTGTGATTTTTATTCTGTTTTGGGGTTGGAACTCTGCAAAAACTCACCCAGAGGTACAGGATTTTTTAAAGGAGCAGCAAGATGATCAGTAATTTTCAGTTAGATGAATCCACATTTAAGTTGTTTCATGTTTGAAGGAGCACTGTGTTGTCTACAGGTAATTATGTAAATGCTAGTAAATGTGGACATGTATTTCTGAGAGAAGTACTGAGACCTCAGTAATAGCTAACAGCTTTCCATTTGATATTTAAATGCATGGGTRTACACATTTACACTACAATGCATTGCCCGTTTGCTTCTTTTTGTTTAGGGTTGTTTTGTTTCTTTCAAGACAGCTCCATTTTTGGAGTATTTCTAGATGACTTGCAACCTAGTAAGGGGATATTTGCCCTGGGAGATTAAGGACTGTTAACATTACAGCTATTTAGTAGTTCTTATTCTTTACTTTTTAAAGATCGGATTCTTTTCTGACTCCTAGTTGCCTGTAGGTTTTGAATTAAAAACTAGCCTCTGGGAAATCAATCATAAAATATTCATTCACTTTAAGGAGGCAAGGATTTCATCTGTGTACATCCCTTTTAAACTTGTAAATACAAGTTTGCAATGGGCTTTTAGCCCATGAAAGCAAATTGCAGAGTTCAGTATGCAGAAGGACCCTTCCCTTTGCTCATGTTGAATATTTATGCCAGTTTAGAGCTGAGTGAGTGAAGGCGGAGGCATGGGTGGTGCAATGAGCTCATTATTGAGCTGTGCTGACTGAACTGTTGGTGCTGCCATTGACCAGCCCTGTAAGTGAAACTGGACAGGCATCCAGCACAAATGCAATTATTGTGCTTTCTAAAGCAGCTTTTTATACCCCAGTGTGCCATCRAAGGAAATATTTAGTGCAGACATTACATTCTTGATGAATAACAAAGCTTTAGGGAAATCCTTGGTTTGGTTTTACCATCATATGTTCCATATACAGAAAGAATGTAAAGGTGGAAATCCTTCAGAAAAGGGAGGGTTTTGATGCCAGGATTTGTGTTGCRTCAGGAGCATGAGCAACCTTTTCACCACTCCCATCACATGATTGTTCTAATGAGTTGCGGTGGTTGGGTGTTGTAAGAGCAGCAGATTTCACCCCTGTTGTGTGACCATACTGGATTTTGTGTTAGTGCAGAGTCCTGGGCAGCACTCACAACTTGGTTTCTACTTTCAGCAGTATCATCCACCTGCCAAACAAAAATGTATTCATATATATGATGCTTCCTATTCGGTTATTTGAAACCATATTCAGCATGAACCTGAACATTGACTTCAGGCCTGCCTATTCCTATCAGTTCTATTTTAGAGTGATAGGCCTGTGTATTTTCATTTACATAAGAAGAAAAATTCATGCAACTGTGAAGTAAAATTCAATGGCATTCTTTTAAGCTGTGTTTAGAGTGATTCAGGATTTTCTTTTCAGGTTTGCTATTCCTTGTTTTTAGCTGTAGAACAGCGACATTCAGTGAAGGCATGTAGTAGCTATGTTTATGATAAATAAGCTTAACTTTTGTATAAAACTTTGTCTCAGAATTGTTTTCACAAAGTTTATTAAATTGGCTACCATGTATTTTGTCCTTTATTTGATTTTTAGTTCCATCTGGTGTGTGTTGTTTATGTATCCTGAATCTCTGTCTAAGACAATGTGTGAGGAGTTGGGTTTGGATTTTTTTTAAAGGAAAAAGAATCCTATGCAATTAAATTTYATCCTAAATATTTTCTTTCTGTTTTGTGTTTCTGACTTAGGAATTTTATGTGCTTGGTGGAGATGGAAAAGGAAGAAAAGCAAGCTGGCTTCCTGAAGAAAGAAGGCAGCAAATACTTAATGGAACTTTGTTTCTGTGGAACCATATTTTGAGTGCTCCTCCTAGAAGTCGTTCATAAATATCCTAGATATCAGCTGATTGCTATGATTGGAAACCTGGCTCACCAAACAGTGTACACTGGGAGWAGCCTACCTAGGATAATACATTTTCTATTGTTTCTGAAAGTCTGTAAGAAAACACTACAGACATCTACCTGTTATTAACTCTGCATCTTGATTCAGCAAAACTAGTCTTCAAAGTGAACAGAACCAGAGCCTTTTTAGAAACTTTTATTGAACATGACTCATGGAGAAGAGCTTGGCTCTGAGATGCACCAGGATTCTGTTGTTCTAACTTACCTAGAAGGATTACTAATGCATCAAGCAGCAGGAGGCTCAGGTACTGCAGTTGACAAAAAGTCCRCTGGGCATAGTGGAGAGGATCAAAACTTTAAGATTTCAGGAAATATATTTCCCAGCTGTCAAAGTAATGGTCCAGTTCTTAACACAAGTACATATAGGGGATCTGGCATGCTGCACCTCAAAAAAGCAAGACTGTTGCAGTCTTCAGAAGACTGGAATGCAGCGAAGAGAAGGCGGTTGTCTGATTCCATTGTGGATTTAGATGGAAAAAAGGAAGCTTTGTTGGCTGGCATGGTTGAAAATGTGCCTAAAGGCAAACAGGATAGCACATTACTTGCCTCTTTGCTTCAGTCATTCAGCTCTAGGCTGCAGAGTGTTGCACTGTCACAGCAGATTAGGCAGAGCCTTAAGGAGCAAGGGTATTCCCTTAGCCATGATTCCTTACAAGTGGAGAAAGATTTAAGGTGCTATGGTGTTGCATCCAGTCACCTGAAGACTCTGCTGAAGAAGAGCAAAGCGAAAGATCAAAAGCTGGACAACAGCCTGCCTGACATAACTAAGAACCTGCCTAAAGAGAGGTTTATAGAGTCTCCTCACGCGGTGCAGAGCGGCCCCAAGGTGATGAATGAGCCCCTGTCATGTGCTGCAAGGTTACAAGCTGTTGCGAGCATGGTAGAGAAACGATCCAGTCCTGCTGCTTCGCCCAAGCCCAGCGTAGCGTGCAGCCAGCTGGCTCTGCTCCTCTCCAGCGAGGCCCACTTGCAGCAGTACTCCAGGGAACACGCTCTAAAAGCACAAAATGCCAATCAGATCGCAAGCGAGAGACTTGCAGCAATGGCCAGATTGCAAGAAAGCACTCAGAAAGACATGGGCCAGTTCGGTTTGGCCAAAGGAATGACAAGCCATCTCAATGGTCAAGCAGGATCATCCCCCAAAACGGTGGCTAGCAAAGGCAATATGGCACCCTTTCAGAGTTCAGTGGGAGTTGTGCACTCACCTCCCAAAACTGGGGGATACAAAAGTACTTTGGAAAGGAGTAATCTGAAAACATCTCCCAGCAACAGTTTGCTCTTGCACCTGCTGAAAAGCCAGAACACCACCAAGCACCTGAAAGGGCGTGAGCAGAGTGAGAGAGCCAGCATTTTTGAAGACAGCAGCACGCCAACAACTGTTGATGAGTATTCAGACAACAATCCCAGTTTTACAGAAGACAGCAGCGATGATGAGAGCTCCCATTCTAACTGTCTCCCTATAGATCTATCCTTTAAGCAGAGGACAGATAAACCAGATGCAATCCCACCTGCATCACTGGATAATCTGACTCAGTCCTTGCTTCGTACCTGGGATCCAAAAGTTTCCTGTGCAGAGATCAAGGAAGAGAAAGACACTCCGAAAGCCTCTAAGCTGAATCCCCACCAGAAAGTAACACTGCTTCAGCTGTTACTTGGGCATAAGAGTGAAGACCAGGTAGACAAGAGTAATGACCCTCAGGGACCACACAGTACAGCTGATGTGGCAAAATTCACTGTACAGACTGGGAAAAGGACTCCTGTGACCGACAGTCCCAGTGCCAGCCGAATGACTCCGTTAAGCACTCCGCCGTTGCTGGCTTCGATAAAGGCAGACTCTCCTATAAACCTCTCGCACCAGTCGCTGGCCGCCAAACGGAGCTCGCCGCCATACGCCTGCAGCATCCAGCCAGACAGGCTGATGGCTCCCGCATCCAAACACTTGATAGACCTGTCCAAAAGCAAAGAAATTCAAGGGGCTAAGCTGAGCAGGACCGACAGTCCCCAGAACTCCTCGGCGTTCAGTGCCAGCAAGCTGCTGCAGAACCTGGCTCAGTGYGGCATGCAGACTTCCATGTCGAGTGAGGAACAAAGAGGTAGCAAACAGCTGCTGGCGGGGAGCATGGATAAACCTGTGGGCTTGATTGATAGGTTGAACAGCCCTCTGCTTACGAATAAATTGAGTATGCATGAAGAAAATAACAAAATATTCAGTTGTCAGCCCGCAGCCGCTGAACAAGGACTTCCAGGTTCGGAAATAGAAAATCTCCTTGAAAGGCGCACTGTCCTTCAGCTGCTTCTGGGAACTCCCAATAAAGGTAAAAGTGAAAAGAAAGAGAGGATGCTTTTGAGAGATGAAAGTTCTCAAGAACAGACAGACAAGGCTTTGAATGAGCAAATATTGACGGTGAAAATAAAAACCGAACCATCTGAAGAATCAAATGTTCCTTATAATTCAAATGCACAACCAGTAAGAGAATGCAAGGGTAACAAATTCCAAGGGTTTGCTCATTCACTGCAGAGAAACACAGCTGCTTCTCCAGCATCCGAGGAGTTGAAATCTGAGCCTCTTTCACCTCAAGATTTCTCTTTTTCCAAAAATGGCCTGCTAAGTAGGTTGCTGAGACAGAATCAAGACAATTACCCTGCAGATGAGCTGGACAGGAGTCACCGAAACAGCGAGCTGACACACCTTGAATCCAAGAGCCTTTGCACAGTACCRAAGAAGAGGAAGCTTCATGCTGAGCCTTTGGAAAGCCCATTAAAAAAGATGAAAAGTAATGTGTCTGATGCTGCAAACAATCACACTTCTCCTACTGAGGCACTGTATGGGCCTTTGCTTAACCAGCAAGAACTGAAATTCAGCAGAAGTGATGCTGAATTTAAATATGCTGTAAGTCACGGTTCAAATAGTGAAACTGAAAATAGGAGTTGGTCTAGAGATAGTAAAGGCTTTAATGTGTTGAAACAGCTGCTTCTCTCAGAAAACTGTGAGAGAGATCTGTCACAACATAGGAATAACATACTAACAGAGGGCAAGAAAAAAGGAAACAAAACCAGTGCAACAATGAATAAACCTGAATTCACCATTTCTTCAGTAAGATCACTGGTGGGAAGCCCTGTGCAACAGAACAATTGTGTAGATCACAGAACATTTCAGTATCCCGTRGCAGTGAAAAGTCCTGCCAGCTCCCCCTTCCCTGAGCATTTGGGGAGCACGGTGTCCAGGCTCGAGTCCGACCAGTTTAGCATGTGTTCCATGCCCAGTGAGAAAGGGCCCATCAGATGGGTGATCACGGGCATGGACAAGAACGATTACGAGAAAGACTCTCCGAGACTGACCAAAACCAACCCGATATTGTACTACATGTTACAGAAAGGCGGCACCTCTGTCAGCAGCCAAGAAGCACATGACAAAGAAATYAGGAATGAACCTTCCTTTACCGAGAGTTCAACTCAAGTTACAATCAAAGAGGAGCTGACATCTGACGCAGAGCTTAAAACTCCTTTTAGTAACTTAAGAAGCCCTTACAACAGCCATATGGGGAGTAACACTTCTCATCAGCATGGTGGTGTGAATGGAGAAGTGCATGGACTTCTGGAAAAAGTGCGAACAATCAAAAAAGAGCCAGAATAAACTGGAACCTCCTCAGTGAGTTTACAATCAGTGGTTTTGAATCTTTGTTTAAAAAAAAAAAAAAAAAAAAAAAAGAAAAGAAAAATGAGTATGAACTTGACTACTGTATAAATTGAGCATGATTTTAAGAAAAACAAAAGCATGGTCTAATTGAAACATGTTTTCATTTGATAAACTTTTTATTTTTCTGGTGATGTTATTTAAAATACATGTAGATAAAATTTGCTTTACAGTAGATTGTCACAAGGAAACTAGAAGGGTTGTAATTTGTACAAGACATTTCTGTATGTATCAGATTAAGTTATGAGTACTCTTTGATCAGAGTCTTATTTGGATCTGCAAGCTTTTGGTATAACATAAAGTGTAAGCGTACAGCCTAGGTGGTGGTAATGCTGCGTTTCCTCCTTCCCTGTAAAATAATCCTTATTTTTTTGAAGCCTGAGCATAGAGACAGTGTACTTTTTTTTTTTTAATGTTTTAATATGTTTTGTGAAATTTTAAGAATAACTTTCAAGAAATGGAGCAGTCCGTCCAAGGTGTTAGCTCGTCATATTGGAAAACTTGCGTCAGTGTTAATAATTGAAGTGCACTGAAATGTATTTTTTAGTGCTTCCAAAATTTGTATTGTTATTTTTAAACCTTGTTTGTGGTCCTGCCAGAATAGTGGTGTAAAATCTATTTTTCTTCCTTGCCCTGCTCTTGACAAATGCCTTCCTCAGAACTCTTAGCCATAGTTATGAGTTACTAGTTACAATGAAGGGTTTTTCTAGGTTTTTATAAAAAAGGCAGATTTTCGWAGGCCATGCAAGAACTGCATGAGTCCTTTTGTCGGCACATTCCTGTCACTTCCCTGCCTAAAAGGGGAAAGCCAAAATGCCTCTTGGAGTAGTGTGATTGAGAAGGCTTAGTACATGTATTCAGTGAGGAAAATGCTAGAAATCTTGTGAAGGGCATGAGCGGGATTGTCTGTTCAGCACCATCCTGCTTCCCAGCAGAAGAGTACCAACTGCGCCAAAGCAGCACATCAGACTTTCACTCARAGATGGAATAGGATTTTAATGAAAAATGTGTTGGCCTCTTCCTACAACCAGGGAAAAGAATCTATAATCTGCCAATATTTATTACTCTCTGAACAGCTGAGGCATGGTTTAATGCACTACCCTTTCACTACAGAAAAATCTGGCTTTAGAATAATTTTCCAGGTTGCACTGAGGATAAAACTGTGGTTTTGTCATGTTCTGTAATGGATGGTGGGATACGTCTGAGAAATCCTTCCCTGCCCTTTTCCTCAATCCCCACCTGTGCTGTGATTTGTAACATCTGGTAATATCAGCCTGAGATGGCAGGAACTGAAAATTGCAGTCAAAGCTGAGACACCTTAAAAGAATTGCTGGCTGGGGAAGAGCTGTGTGGCTCCGCTTCCCCGTTAGCACTGTCAGTGTTAACTCCATTTGCAGCCCTTATTTCTCTGGGGGGAGGAAGAGGACAAAATYCAGTTCCTCTAAATTATATGAATTATTGGCAAGCAGAAGTATTGCTGAACTTTTTACTCCCCTGAGAAAAAAAGTTCTCTGTGGCTTCTTGATTTCACTGATAATCCCCTCTGCCATCAGCAAGCAGCTAAGCAATTGGCTTGCACAAATCCTGAAAGCTACACTCTGGTTTAATTTTGTCTGTTTTCACCATTGAGAGCTGATGACATGACAAAACTGCTGTTTCTGTCCATCTCATGTCTGCATAGCAGAGATGAGTGACGGGGCATTTTGCTCTTTTCCTGTCTGGTTTGGTTTCAGATCCCTTTCCCAGACTCCTGGCTTGCTGAGASAGAGCAAGCTGTTGTTCCGCTCTTGTCCCTGTCCCCAGCCCCAGATCAGTTCCTCTTTCCAGTGCAGTTCCTRCTGAAAGGGACTTTTCCTGTCTGACAGCTGGAAAATGCACCACTATTCTGTTCTGCCTCCCCTCTGGGGGGTACCTTCTTTTAGGGAACACAAATATTTGGCAGTATCTGATATAAAACATTCCCCCTGGTTTTTATGAGAAATAACAGAGCAATTTAAAGATATATTTTTATGTTATTTCGGTGAAGCATAATATATTAATGGGCTGTACAAAGAAGATTTATATTTTAAAAACTTCACACAAATTAATATCATTTTAAATGTCATTGTCTGAAGTATAATATAAAAATAAAATTTTGTTTGTCTTTAATATTGCATTTATAAGTGGCCCAGTGACAATTCAGATGTCTCATATAATAATCATTAATGAGATAAAGTATATTTTGGATTGACAGTGGAACTGAATTCTTTTTATATGAGTCAACCCAGCAGAAATATTAAAAAGATGGTATTTGTTCCATCCATTAAATGTCTTTTAAAGTCTTAATTGATTATTTTTCTTGAAACAATGTGTATATAGGTAGGAAAGATATACAGTATAGAATAATAGATGGTCCCCAGACTAAATACAGGGCTATAATTTGTTTGAGGGGCTCCACAGAAAAATGCAGCATGAGTGGATGTGGAATTATCTGGTTGAAAAACTTCTTCAAAGTGAGTTAAAGAGCAGGGAAGAGAGTCTGACCCTGACAAAAATATTGGTATTGAGCAATGTGCTGACCTTTGTATTTATTCTAGGGTAGTCTATTGTTWTAATATATACTTTTGAACATTTAGTTTTGCAAGTTTTATTAAATGGTTAAGTTAAAATGTTAACAGTTTGACCAGTTAAGGATTTAGCTTTCTTTTCAGATGATGTTGATGAAAGGGTATTGCCATTCTCACAGACGTCACTAAACTCTTAATACACAACAATTTAGGTTTGGGACATGGTGTTCATGGAAGAATCTTCTCTCTTGCAGACATTGCAATCTCAAACAGCAGGTAACGCAGCGCTGTGGCCCTTGAGAAGGCACGACATGCCAAGGGAATGCTCAGTCAGCTGCTGAGAGGGCAGCAGTCTCCTCCTTTATGAAATTTGCCAGTATCACAGGTGTTACCCCTCCCTAGGGAAGTCTTCTTTAAATCTACCCCATCCTCATTTACAGCATTTACACCTTAGGACCAAAGGCTCTTCAAAATTATTTTTTGTCTTGTTGCATGGGTGAGTAGAAAGGAGTTGCTGTTTTTTTCCTTGGGGACTTCTCCATCAGAACGGAGGGGTGCAGGAGCTGGGTTTGTTGCCCCAGTAGACCCTGGTGGAGCTGRCCACATTTTCCCAAGCAACTTTAAGATCCCTGATTTCCACCAGTGTCTGTAGATGGRTTGCAAACAAAGGTCATCGTTTGAGTAACACTTGGTACTCTCAGCAGCTCCTGTCTCCTCTAGGCCTTTAGACTCKAGATATGAAGCAAAATGGGGTCCTGTGAGATCCTGGCAGCAGCAGCTGTGTAGGCAAAGTGGTGTAGGATCAATGGGTGCTGGTGTGTGACCTCGCCATCTAAGGAGCAGGGAGGGAGGGGAGAGAACATCCCACTTGGAGCTGGCTGAGACTGCTGGGGGAAAGCTGCCTCCAGCTCTCGGAGCAGCGAGGAAGGGAGTTAGGAATTGTCTCTGTACCACACTTAGAGTTGCAGCTACACCCCCTTGGAGCTCACCCCTGAATTGGGTTCAGCCCCATGTAGCTGGGAAGAGCTGGAGCTGCAGTGGTTGGGCTGCGGAGTGCCCGGTGCCTCGCTCAGGGGGCGTCCCCAGCGCCTGTGGAGCACCCAAGGCAGCTGGATTTGGGGATTGGCGTGGAACTGCCACACAGATATGCCTTTTCTTCCCAGAGGGAAGTGTCTGGGACTCAGATATCCAGGTTTCTAGTGTCTACTCTGCAAAAGCTTGAGAAAATGATGGTGGGTAACGTGTGACTGCAGAATCAGAGGTGGAGAGCTGGAGGGCTTCTCTACTGATACCACGCAGCTAGGCAGCTCAGTTTGAGAAGTTTATATGAGATCAAAAGGGAATTCAGCCATAACTTTCACTTTTCTTAGCCATTTACTCTTAGTGATGTTTTTAAATTTTTAATTTACAAATGTTTTTAAAAGAAAGAAATGAGTGGTTTAAATTTTCCCTGTTAAATGTTGGTGAAAGTATTACAGCTCTCATTGACGTCAGTGACATGATATTACCAGTTTGTTCTCTGCCACATCTTACAGAGGAGTAAACTGGTAAGTATATATTATATATATATTTATATATAATGTAAATATGTTGACTTGTTACGCCTATAATATGTTGAAATTGGTTTTTAAAAGGTGATGTAAATAGTGGTTTCCTTAATGAAAAATACATATTTTGTATTGTTCTAATGCAAAGGAAAAGAAACCTTTTAATCTTTTTTGTTATGTATATTCCATGTATAAGTGTAAATATGATCACATAGGTTTAAAAACTTTTTGCATGTATGTATACAGTTGCAAGTCTGGAAGAATGTATAGAAAAATTCTTTTATTTAAAGTTGTGATTACCTGCTGCATGAAAAGTGCATGGGGGACCCTGTGCATCTGTGCGTTGGCAAAAAAAAAAAAAATGTCTTAACAAGTCAGGTCAGTTTAAAACACAACAGTATTCCACTTCTGGACATGACTTCTGCTGTGGTATTTTAGCTTTGTGAAAGAATGTGCTTCAAATCAAAAGGGTCTGGAAAAAAAAATGCAAACCTACTTTTAAAACATGAAGTGCTCATACAACTATAATAAGTCATGTAAGTTCAGGACTCCATTTTGCGTAATTGAAATATTGTACCAGGACTATTCCATCCCTGTAAAACAAAGGAGTATTGATTTTCATTGCCATACATAAGAATTCGGGATTTTACCACAACCAGTTTTATTGTGATGTGTCTTCAGTAATTTATCTAACTGGTCTCATTTTTTTTATTAGAAATTAATTTCCTCATGTGATGTCACAAAACTGTACATACTGCAGTGTGAAGTTTTTTTAAATCTTTCAGTGTTTACTTCCTGCAGAAAATTTGAATAAATGAGAAAAATGCATTGTCTTGATGGTTTTTAAATCTGCTTTATTTCATGTGTACTTTCCATCATTGGAGTGTTAGGGGGGCTCTTTGCATCARTGCTGTTGATGCAAATTTCTGACA